CTTCATCCCCTCTGCCTACATAGCTCCTGCCCCCAGTCACCTCCTACACACACACCCCTCCTTCTTCCTTCCCTTCAAACACATGAGCGTGTTTCCACCTCAGAGCCTTTGCACTTGCTGCCACCTGCCTGGTCGCCGTTTCCCCACATGGCAGCTTCCTCACTTAGGTCTCAGCACCACCTCGTCCCGAAAGCCCTTCTGAGCGTCCTTCCTAGAGTAACTTCATTCTTGGCCACCCCCTAGCTCATGACCCTGCTTTATTTTCTTCATAACCCTAATACTACCTGAATTTCTCGTGTGTATCCTTGGTTCGTGTGTGTGTTGTCCATTTCCATGTAAGCCAGTCAGGCCAGGGATCTTGTCATTCACCTGCAGTCATGTGTCCCCAGGCCCCACGAACAGTTCTTGACACATCGTAGGAGTTGGGCAAGTGTTTACAGAATGGACGAGATTCTTTCCAACTAGTTCCTTGAGAACACACGTGCTTTCTGTTGTGACGACTCATTTCTGTGCCCGTAGCGGGTTCCTCAAGCTCAGCACACCTGACACGTGGGACGAGGTAATTCTCTGCCGTGGGGGCTGCCCCGTGCACTGAAGGATGCTTAGCCGCGTCCCTGGCATCTGGCCACTGGATGCCGGGGGCACTCATCCCCAGCTGTGACAACCAAAAATGTCTGTGGCCTTTGCCAGTGTCCAAGGTGGGCAGGAGATGGTGAATCGCCCCAGCGGAGAGCCCCCTGCCCTGCAGTGTGAGGCACCCAGGGGGCTGAAGAGTCAGTCCTTGGACCGATTTGAGAATCAGGGCCCTCCCTGGGTGCAGTTCCACAACATAACCACCAGGTGGCAGCAAAGACCGCGGTCTCAGTAGCATGGTTTCCCTCCCTTTGAGAAAATTTTTCGTTTGTCTCCGTGCTTACGTAACTGATTTTGCATCTTGGCTCGCTCCCTCTTCCCGTAGGGCCCTGTGAGCTCTCCGCCCAGTTTGCACTTTTCCAGACTAAGAGGGGAGGCAGCGGCAATGTCCTGAGGCCACCGGCAGACAGCAGTCATCGTGGAATCAGGCAGGTCTCGTTTCCATCCCTTTCTGTTTGTGCCCCCGGGCCAGTTAACTTAGGCTGTCTGTGCCTCAGTTTCCTCTTCTGTGCCCAGCCTCACTTGTCTCCATAGTCCTCGGCACTGATCACCTGTTTTGCACGCCTCCCTCCTCAATCATGCGGCAGCTCAGAGGGCGAGGGCCCCCAGTGTTTGTTGAGTGACTGACTGACGGCATGTAGAACGGTGCCGGTGCATCAGTACTCGGTGAGTGTCAGCTGTGATGATGCTCGTGCCGTGGTGAGCAGGGGAGGATGTCATGCAAGGATGGTGATGTCGTGGTAGGGGTGATGGTGTCACGGTGAGGACAATGGCATCACGATGTTGACAACGGAACTGTCATCTTGTGGCCCCCATCCATCAGCACTTCCCTAGGGACTTTCTTGATCTTGCAAGAACAGGTTCAAAGCCTGTGCACTGGAATCATCCAGAGAGTTCTCCAGCCCTAGGTACCGTCACAGCCAGGATGCAGCCCAGGGCTCAGGGCTTCTTAAAGACGCCGGGGGATCTAACGCGCAGGAAGGTGGCCCTCACCCCTGCCACTCAGCACGCCCTCCAGATCTGTGTCACACAGAGCGATCCTGGACACAGCGCCCACATCACCCAGGGGCTGGTCAGCAGTGTGAATTCTCGGGCCGCCAGGGCCCCTGACCGACTCACTCAGCCCCTGGGGAGGGCACCCGCCACGTGGGTTTGGACACCCCGAAGAGTGTCACACAGTCGGTGTGAGCAGAGCCGCCCCGGGGGACTCGGATATGTGGACAGCGTGGACACCCCCATTCCCCTGGGCCGGAATACCAGGATGAAAGGAGGGATGGAATGTTCTGGGGGCGGGGGCAGGGACGCAAGGGGTCCCTGAAGGCCGCCCCATCAGCTAGCCCCATGGGGACCTTTCAGTTCACGTCTCAGAACTACCCCCACCGCGTTCACCGAAGGGCCCGCGTCACCCCCAGACTCGTTTCCCCGCGGGAGCCAGCCTTCCCGGAGAGCCCTCGATGCCAGCGGGGCCGAGCAGGTGGCACCATCCCCAGGCCCACTAGGGCCACACGCAGCTACTGCCGAGTCGATGAACGAGAGCCGGCGGAGTGTCGCCAGGGCCCCACCCGTGGTGGACATCGCACCTTGGGGAGAAGCCCACGTGAGGGGCTGGGGGGAGACTCCCTGCTGGAGGCGCCTTAGGGTGCGGCACTGCCTCGGGGGCCTGCTCGGTGCTTAATCTCCAGCGAGGGCCGAGACGTGCTGGAGCCCAGCGCGTGTGGCCTTCGCCCCCCGTGGGCCTGCGGCCAGGGAGCGGGCTCGGTCAACACTCCACGTGGAAACCGCCTCCACCCCGGGCACTGGGAGTGCGGACTGTCCGCGAGTTGTTCCTGTGCCTTTGAGGCTACGGCTCCCCACCGAGTGTGAACGTGCGGATCATTCTTCCCTCTCGGCCCGCGGCCGACCCCCCCTTCCTGTGAACCCCCACCCGCCACCCGAGAGCGAGTCGGCGGTTCTCCCACGACGGCGGTGAAGTGACCCACAAGGGGGCCGGCGCCGACGTTTCCGCCCCGAGGTTTCAGCGCAGAGCCCGGGTCCCTGAGAGCCTCCGCTCCGAGGGGGCCCTGCCCGTCCGACTCCAGGACCCGGGCCGGGCGGGACACACGGGCACGGCCGCACGGACAGCGCGGAGGCGGCGGCCCCCAGGCGGGACCCCCCCCCCCCCCCCCCCCCCCCCCCCCCCCC